CTGCCTTGGCCTCCCAAAATGCTGAGATTATAGGCATGAGCCATCACACCCATCCTGTACAGTGTTTTACGAAAATGTTTTGCATGTAACAAAGTTTTAACTGTGTTTTCACCACATCCTGTAACATGAGGTCAGGTGTGGACCTTTCTGGTTGTGATAACATGCCTGTGCTCAAAAAGTTTCAGATTGTAGAGCATTCTGGATTTCAGATTTTCAGGCTAAGGATAATCAGCCCAGAGTAGAGATACTCCTTGACTTACAATGGGGCTACATCAGAATTTCTCTTGTTTAATTTAAACATTATTAATAAAATTTCACTTTTTCAAATACAGCAGGTGTGCAAGAAAACATAACTGCAGAAGTACATGAAGGTATGTTGCTAAAAATTATGAATTAAATTTAAATCATTGATTCTTGAAATAAACTGTAAATAATGAATGTCATCCCTCTCCATTGCTTTGTTGATAAATACTACATTAATTACTTTTTCTTATACACATTACTGAAAGATGTGAAAACATAAATATTCATAATGAAAAGTATACTTATGCCTCATTAGTTTATCATGTTTTATAACTTTAAAAAAAATCTCAAGAAGTCTGTGGGTATCCCTTTTTTTTCTGGCTCTACACTCTGCCATCTCTATGGAACCATCAGTTTGCACACTGAAACTGTTCTCAGAAAATAATGATATCATCAACTTCTCAAGGTTATGGTAGTGACTTAAAACCAACAGATCCTAGATTAATGTCTCAAGCAATTACTGTTGATAAGCAGTCACTTGACCAGTGACATTTTGTATGTGTCTGTGTGTGTGTGATGTATATCTGGTTTCTGGACACTATTCTGTTCCATTGATCTATCTTTATGTCAAAATCACACTGTTATGATTATTGTGGCTTTATAATAATTCTTCAAACTGCATTGTGTTTGCTCTCTAAATTTATTCCTTTGTTTTTTCAGATTTACTGCATTTGTGTCATCTACATGCCATGGAAGTCTTAAAATCAGTTGTCAATTTCTACAAAATACCTGCTTGGATTTGGACTGGGATTGCATTATGTCGTGGGAAAGAGTGAACATCTTAATGTTGAGCCTCTCAACCTATGAATAAGGTATTTTCTTAGATATTCTTTAGTTTTTCTCCACAATATTTTTTGGTAATCATTGTACAGATATTTTGCATAGTATGTCAGATATATTCCCAAGCATTTTATATTTTAATGCTATTATAAATAGTATTACTTTTAAAATTTCAATTCTTAACAGTTTATTTGTAACATATAGAATTACAATTGATTTTTGTATATCAATCTTGTCCTGCAATGTGGCAAAACTCACTTACTGGTGTCAGTAATGTTGCAGTGAATTTCACTTGGTTTTCTACACAGATGATTATGTCTGTGAATAAAGACAGTTTTACTTATTTCTTTTCAGTCTAGATGCCTTTTATTTTCCTCCCTCCCTTCCTCTCTTACACTCTTCCTTTCTTCCTTCCCTCCTTTCTTCCTTCTCGTGACTCCCTTTTAAAAGTGATTACAGTTGCTCAAATTTCCAAGTACAGTGTTGAATAGAGGTGGTAACAGCTGACATGCCAGTCTTATTCTTGGTCTTCGGGGAAAACATCCAGTCTTTCATCATTACGTAGAATGTTAGCATTTTTTTTTTGTGACGGAGTTTCACTCTTGTTGCCCAGGCTAGAGTGTAGTGGTCCGATCTCAGCTCACCACAACCTCCGCCTCCCAGGTTCAAGGGATTCTCCTGCCTCAGCTCGTGAATAGGTAGGATTACAGGCAAACACCACCATGCCCAGCTAATTTTGTATTTTTTTTAGTAGAGACGGGGTTTCTCCATGTTGGTCAGGACGGTCTCAAAATCCCAACCTCAGGTGATTTGCCTGCCTCGACCTCCCAAAGGCCTGGGATTTCATGTGTGAGCCACCACGCCTGGCCCCGCTGAGATTATTTTTTTAATGAAAAATGTTCAATTTTCTCATGTTTTTTCTGCATCTAATACATATGGTTTTTATTTTTTAATATTGTTAATATAAGATTGATTTGGGGGAGAAGGTTAAGTTCATATTTTTAATTCAAAATAATTTTTAAACGTAGTTTTTTCTTGAAATTTTTTATTTTAAATCTTCTGTTTAAAAGACTCTAAACATTGTCAATTATTTTTAAAGTTCTGGTGAAATATATATAATATAAAATTTCACATTTTAACAATTTTTTACTCCATAGTTCAATGGTATTAAATACATTTACAATATCATACAACAATCAACATTATTAATTTCTAGAACTTTTCATAATCCCTAAGAGAAACTCTGTATGCATTAAATAATGTTTTTCCATCAACCCTCTCCTTATCCCTAGTAACCTCTATTATACTTTCTGTCTGTATGAATTTACCTATGCCAGGTATGGCATATAAGTAAAATCATGAAATAGTGGCTTTTTGTGTCTGGGTTATTTCACTTAGCATAATGTTTTCAAAGCTCATCTAAGCATGTATCAGTAGATTCTTTCCTCTTATTTGTGATTAATATTCTATTGCAGAGAAATACCGCATTTTATTTAACAGTTCATGGACATTTGGATTGTTTCCAGGTTTTTACTATTATGAATAATGTACTGTGGACATGTTTGTAGACACATGTTTCTCTTGGATAACTACTCAAGTGGGAATCTAAGTCAAATGGTAACTATGTTTAATCTCAAGGAATTGTCAGACTGTTATTCAACGCAGTTGTGTAATTTTACATTTCCACTAGCAGTGTATGAGGGTTCCAATTTCTCCACATCTTTTGCAGTATTTTTTTTCATCTTCTCTATTATAGGCATTCTAGTGGTGTTAAGTGGTACCTCATTGTTGTTTTGATATACATTTCCCTTTCATGTTGAGCATGTCTTCTTGTGGTTACTGACCAGTTGTCATTTCTTAGATGAAATACCTGGTAGTTATCTTTTGACCATGTTTTAATTGATTGCCTTTTTCTTATTGATTTGTAAGTGTTCTTTATATATTCTGAACAAGAACATATTTTTTTACACTTTTCTATAAACTTTGTTCTAATATTATTGTTTCTGTATTTTAAAATTTTATCAGCCTCTTTTCTCAAGAACTTACCATATATATTAGTATGATATTTCTGTATTCCAGTCTTGTTTTCATGATTTCCTTCCTTGACCAAAAGAAAAAATATATTCTTATTACCCAAATAATTTCCCACTTTACTCACACCCACTATTTTTCTATAAATCCACATTCTCTCCTGGGGCAAAAGATTGGGAAGATTTATGTTACTGAAGGAACTTCCTTTATATTGTTCAGGAATAGCTTTAATGAAGTTTTATATAGTTGGAGAAATCAGGAGAAAGCATGTATGTCACTGCTTTACTCAGAAGCACTGGCTTACATGCCTTGAAATGATTTAATAGGCCTTCAATAAATGGCCTAAGATACTAAAAGCTGCCATGTCATTAAGCATCACAGTTACTTATAAAGAAAAAAATTAGAATTTACATGTCAAAATCTTCTACTACAAAGATGGCAGATATTTGACTGAAACTGCAGTGTTTGTCCTTGTTGACATAACTTCAAGCTAGTCCCTGCCTAACTTATCTGTTTTCCATTTTTAACATTTGTTTACATTTTTATTTGATAAATGTATATTTTTATACCATGCTTCCAAGTGTCACTCTGATCTATGCCTAAATGATCATACACAGAATTGTGGAGTTTATTGAGGAGACTCATCCCATGAATGGGAAAACTCAGATAATCTGAGCAGATGTCTCTGGAAATATTGAGGAGGAAAGAAAAACTTTGTTTTCCTTTCATACAGAGATTCCCCCCATTATTTCCATGTACACTATATGAAACACAAATCAACATCAGTTTTTCAGCACAAAAATAAAAATAATACAATTGTGAGGGGAATCATCTTTCTAAAGGTCAGTTATTCTAGGGGAAACACTCAGCATATACTAGATGAATGAAAAAAGTCAGTAATGAGAAACACATACTAACCCCCATTCCCAATTGCATTTCCCTCTTCCCACTGACAAGACCTTCTGTCTTCTCCCAAGTGTTGAGTAGAAACACTGCCAACTCTCCACATTGATCTGGCTGATTCCCAGAGCCAGGATATGTCACTTACTTGGTGGATAGGAAATTTTAAATCCATTGGTCCATGTTTGCATGTCAGTTAGGTTAATATGTCAGTGATCAGTGAGTTTATCTGATCTCTCATCTGGACTCTGTACAAGAGAGATGGAAAGCAAGTGAAGACCTTCCTTAAATTAAGTGGGTAAGTGTCTGTTCTTCAGGTGAAACTTTTCTTTGTTCAGGTTCCAAATTCAAGACTGGGGGAAGTATTTGAAAAGGTTTTTTTTGGTCAAGGCATTAATCCATATTTTCCAAATCAGCTTTCCAGAAATGACATCTTTGGATATTGATATAATCATATATATGTATATGAGATTGTATCAATATATATGAGATATAATCATATATATATGAGATTATATCAATATCCAAAGATACTGATATATGTGTGTGTGTATATATGTATATGTGTATATATATATATATATATATATATATGTGTGTGTGTATATATATATATATATATATATAAATTTTTATTTCTTTCTTTTTTCTTTTTTCCATTTACTTATTTTATTGCATTTTAGGTTTTGGGGTACATGTGAAGAACATGCAGAATTGTTGCATAGGTACACACATGGCAGTGTGATTTGCTGCCTTCCTCCCCATCACCTACATCTGGCATTTCTCCCCGTGCTATCTCTCCCCAGCTCCCCACCCCCCCCCATTCCTCCCCTATTTCCCCCCAACTGACCCCAGTGTGTAGTGTTCCCCTCCCTGTGTCCATGTGTTCTCATTGTTCAACACCCACCTATGAGTGAGAACATGCGGTGTTTGATCTTCTGCTCTTCTGTCAGTTTGCTGAGAATGATGGTTTCCAGGTTCATCCATGTCCCTACAAAGGACACAAACTCATCGTTTTTGATGGCTGCATAATATTCCATGGTGTATATGTGCCACATTTTCCCTGTCCAGTCTATCATCGATGGGCATTTGGGTTGGTTCCAGGTCTTTGCTATTGTAAACAGTGATGCAATGAACATTCGTGTGCACGTGTCCTTATAGTAGAAAGATTTGTAATCCTTTGGATATATACCCAGTAATGGGATTGCTGGGTCAAATGGAATTTCTATTTCTAGGTCCTTGAGGAATCGCCACACTGTCTTCCACAATGGTTGAACTAATTTACACTTCCCCCAACAGTGTAAAAGTGTTCCTATTTCTCCACATCCTCTCCAGCATCTGTTGTCTCCAGATTTTTTAATGATCGCCATTCTAACTGGCGTGAGATGGTATCTCAATGTTGTTTTGATTTGCATTTCTCTATAAATTTTTATTTCTATATATATTTTGTACTTTAGATTCTGGGGTACCTGTGCAGATCATGTAGGATTGTTGCATAGGTACATTCATGGCAATGTGATCTGCTGCCTCCATCCCCCGTCACCTCTATCTGGCATTTCTCCACATGTTATCCCTCCCCAACCTCCCTGTCCCCGCTGTCACTCCCCTAGTTCCCCCCAACAGACCCCATTGTGTGATGCTCCTCTCCCTGTGTCCATGTGTTCTCATTGTTCAACACCCCCTATGAGTGAGAAAATCAAATGCGGTGTTTGATTTTCTGTTCTTTTGTCAGTTTGCTGAGAATGATGGTTTCCAGATTCATCCATGTCCCTACAAAGGACATGAATTCATCTTTTTTTATGGCTGCAAAGTATTCCATGGGGTATATGTGCCACATATTCCTTGTCCAGTCTATCATCAATGGGCATTTGGGTTGGTTCCAGGTCTTTGCTATTGTAAACAGTGCCACAATGAACATACTTGTGCATTTGTCTTTATAATAGAACAATTTATAATCCTTTGGATATATACCCAGAAATGAGAGGGCTGGATCAAATGGAATTTCTGTTTCTACATCCTTGAGGAATTGAGACACCGTCTTCCATAGTGGTTGAACTAATTTACACTCCCACCAACAACGTAAAAGTGTTCCTATTTCTCC